GGGGGGAAGGACAGCTTCCAGCTGGGGTGGGGGGAGGGCTCTTTCTGTTGTCTGTGTGTTACTGTACATCTCTTGTGTGGATTACAAAAGATGGTATTATGATATCTCATCATATTTAAAGCAAATTGAATAAGTCAGCTCATTATCTTGCTGCAGCACTGTCAGAAATTATTTTTAGCAGAGGGACAGAAGATAGGTCCTTTGTTTTACAAAGATTCTTTTCAAAACACTGATTTATTTCACAGTAGTAGTCTGGTATTTCACAAGTAGTCCTGTTCACGGGTACTTTCACTGCCAAGCAAGGGAATTTGCAGGGGAAGTCTGGCATAAAACAGCTCCAAATTGAACTAACGTTACCGTTGCTTTCTGAGTTTGGCTCAGCATGCAGCCCATAAAAGGTAAAAGGTAAGGTGTGGGGATGCCAGAAAGACACCGGGGAACACAGGCTTCATGTGTGTGCATTTCTCTGTTTGTGCACATGTGAAATCCTGCTGTGGAAATGAGGGTGAAGAGAGATTTTTTTCAAGTTTGCAGAGCTGATTGGAATGCCAGAAATAACTTAATACAATCAGTGCAGCACTCTTGACTCTCTCTCTGAGATGTGTGGCAAAAGAACAAAGGAATTTATAAAAATGAACTAATCACTTCAGTAATAGAGGCATCTGTAATCTAAGTTTTATTTTCCTGTGGTTGATGGTCAGTATTACTCTGGAGGGAAACTCAGAGAAGGGAGGGAAGGGGAGAGAGCCAGAGAAGACTGTCTATTTTTACTCAGTAGCACACTGTTGTCCTGGTTTCTCTGGTGGTAATGAGGACAGCACGAACTGATAGGAAAATCACCTCCTCCAAAAGCAGTCCTACACAATTGTATCATGCATCCGTCTTTAGGAACTGGTGTCTGATTGCAATCGTTTTGAGCGCAGACTCCTTGGGAACCCAGACCACCTCACTGAGGAGCACTATTGCTGTGCTTGTTTTAAAGTCCAGATTCAATGTAAATCCTTGCATGTTTAGCTCTAGGTGACCCAAGAAGTGTGTGTCGGTGTTTTTGCGATGCACAGGCATGCAAGATGAAGGAGAACATTTTAGCTTTAATTCCTTGTGTCAGCATTTACAAAGTAGATACACAGTGTTTTAAAATGTTTTATGTTAATTATCTGTGCTTTTGTTTCTATTTCTCATTCTGTTTAGAAAGAGGAGAAGATGATAAGAAAAGTTATTTCAACTTTTCTATATTATTTCTTTCCAATAAACTGGGAGATTGTTTTGTATTTATCTTCAGACTACAACGGCTGGTTAACAGCAGTTATTTCTATGCATAGTAAAGATTTCAAACAGAAAAGTGAGAAAGTGCAGTAAATCCTTTTGGCTTTTTGAAATCTGAGCATTTTTTGTTATGAAATTCAGTGGCTGAGATTTCATCCCACAAAGTAAATTCTGAAATTCTTTAAATTACCTCTGATTTTAAGTTTGTAAATGTATATGTAAAACCAGAATATAAAACTCATTGGAAGACTGCTGGTTTTATTTTGCATAGTGGGATTTTTTTCTGATTTACTAATTTAGCAGAAGCAATTTAAACCCGAAGCAATCTATGAAGATGATGTCGTCTGTCTTAAGGCTGTGTGTTGGTTTGGACAGCACTCTGTACAGCTGACAGTGCGATCAGAGGGAGACCTCTAATGGCAGGTCATTTTTCCTTTATGTTCTGCTTAGCATTATATATGGATTTGAAGCTGATGAGGGAATATGGACATGCAGCTCCAGTGGTATGTTTTCAGATTGACACTCCAGGCTGAAGCCAACCTACAACTCATCTATATTTTTTCTTTGGTACTGCCTCCATGGGACAGTTGCACTCTCTGGAGTACCAAAGTCTTTGACCCACTTTTGATTTATCATTATATTTATACTATTCTCTGCTACGTCATTTATTACTTTTCTCAATATTTTCTTTCTCATCTCAGGTTAAATATTGTAGCCAAAATATGCTGTATTTTGTGATCAGTGAGCTCTACGTTGAACTCAATTCTCACCTTTTAGTACGACAATCTTATTCTGCATTATGAGAGAGGTTAAATAACCAGACTTTGATTAAGTTCTAGTCCAGTTAAAATCTTAATTCTCCGTGAAAGAATAAAAGACCGAGACAATGTTTCAGTTAATCTGGTAGTAAAATTTGTCTCGCTTTTTTTTTTTACCTTTGCAGAATTTTTTGACTTTGGTGTATTTCCCTTTATTATTGTATATTAATACTGTATCAATACATATTTCTATGTCTGCATAAAATTGTATGGAAACTTCTGTTATTTTTTGTCTTGTTGCTAAAGAAGATAAATGCATCTATTGATCTAAAACTTTGAAGAGAGGCTCCTTTGTGCCTTAGCAATTGTCAAACAGAACTTTACGATTTGACCATCTTGATCATTTTCAGTCTATAGGCATTTAAGATTTTCAAGGATTTGTGAGTCAGAAAATGGTTATGCATTTATCAGTGTTTTGTAGCAAGTTATGCTCTATTTGAAAGAAGGTTTAAACTGAGAGTTCTAATAATTCCCATGTACATACTGTGACAGAAATAATCATACATTGTTTATCCTCAAATGCTTCCCTTAATTCTTACTCATTTTACAATGCCATTAAGGTTTCAGAGATTCCTTATCTCTACTCATTATTGTTTTTAATGTGAAAGAGAGAGCTCCATTTGTGGCTATGAAAGATTAATTGGAAAAGCTCAGGTGTTGTGTCTCCTTCTGATATTTAGAAGGAATAACTAAGCAACTCTGAAACTGAGACAGAAACAGGAGCCAGGCAGATGAAATGGATGCCTGTCAAGAGGCAGCATGGGTTAAGTTCTAGCTTATCTCCCGTAGCTATCAGAATGTCAGAGCCTGTAACACTTTCCCATTTTGCTTGCAGGGATAAGCCTCTGTCTTAAACATGTCAAAACAGCCAGCGTCACATGTCAAAGCCATTCAGGTAAGAGACAGTATTTATGTTTCTAATATAATAAAATAATAAATCTCAACCTCCGTTGCTTGGCAAACTGCATTTTGCTCATACAAAACACTGCAGAAGTGCTAACTGAGGATTACTCTTTTAAAGTTAAAAGCTTGGTAGATATGAAAGCACTGAAACAGTTTGACCTGAAGAGCATCTTATGAACTGAGCTGAAAAAAAGCTGGATCAGATAGGTTGGTTAATCGCTTGCTTGCGTGGTCTTTCCAGTGTTAGATTCTGTCTGTTGATGGGTCAGCTAAGCAAAACATGATGATACATTTGCATAACTGATCTGCTTAAGAAGCATTTTATTTAAAAGCCAAAGTAAAATGAGAGAAATGTTGATGTTTTCATTAAAAAAAAATATTTGTACGTCACATACGTCCTTAAGTGGCATATGCCTACAAGGATGAAATTGGTTGTTATGTGCTTGTAAAAGAAAAAGCTGGAGAATTATCCCAACATCATCATGAAGCAGCATCATGAAGACCGTATTTAGCTCATGATATCATCGATTCTTGTCAAAAGGCCAAAATACCTCCTGAGCGACAGAATTTTACAGAATTTTTATGTATTTTGTAAAATGCACTTGCAATCAAAATTGCCCGTGAGTTCAGACTCCCTTAAAATTGCATAAGAAACACAAAATAGAATTTCTAAAGTCTGATCTATCCTCTGCTTGCCCAAGATAATACAAACTCAATGGATTGGAGTATCAAGAAGATTAATTACCCAGTTGCTAGACAGTGTACTGAAGTTGCAAGGCACTGTAAAAATGCTAATTCTCTTTATCATCATGAACTCCACTGGAACAGGCATGCAAACTACTGCACTCTAATTCAGCTGAAATTAGCAGAAGCTTGTCATTGATTTCACTCAGTTCAAATTTTCATCCCTCTTTTACAGTGATGATGGAAATATTTGTATGATTAATGAAAAAATCACTAATTTATAGCTCAAAAATATTTACATTTTACATTTAAACTCCATAGGCACATACAAGAATTTTTAAGGAATTAATTTGGCTTACTGTTTTCCTTAAAGTAAAGAAGGAGTTATACTCCTTTTTAGTTTTATGATGACTTTCCAACTTCTAAATGTAAAAAAATGCTTCTAGTTTGCCCATTTAAAAAGTGCATTAAGTTTAAGCACTAAGTTTAATATTTTAAGAAACTTTAGTTTTTGCGAAGGTAATTTGAATCATGAGAAAACAGCACAAACTTTAAAATAAATCTATTAAACATTGTGTGAAGTGTTGCTGCAGGTGGGGGACTTGCACTTGAATTAATGCCTATTACACTTTGAGCACTCTAAGAACCATGACTCAAAATGTCATATTACTTTTATATATTGTGATTCATATATCATGATCCTTTGCTATTATGTGCTGTTATAGTAGGACCGACATCCCCCGGAGAATATACATCATGCTGCAGCAATGGAAGTGTGATAACACTTCACTAACTGAAGTATTTCATGGTACTCCAGTGTTGGAAGTGGCTTCTTTCTGATCACCCCAGATGTCCCCCCCCTCCCCACCAGCCACTAAATGTGCAACTGGTTCCCAAGAGTAGTTCTGGGCAATAAAGAACCAAAGTACTGTTAATTCCTGATAACATTCATTGTTGGCCTCCCCCTTTCAGTGGATAAAAGGCTGTATATAGCTCTGGCTAACAATTATTCTACCTACAAACACCAGTCTTGGCTTTCCCCAGAGGTAAGGGTGAGGGGTTTCCTTTTTTTTTTTTTTTCTGAATTACATTCTGTTTTCTCTGTGTTTCCTTTATCTTTTTTTTAACTTAAGTATGTTTACACTAATGTGGCTTTCCAGCTTATTCAGTCACCCTTCTGGACAGCTAGGAATGGCTGTGATGCTGGAGAACTCATTCGTAACAGCCCTCAAATCATGCATGGCTGCTGGTAATTCAAGACAACAGCAGTTCCTGATCTGGAGGCACTGTCTTTAGTAAACAGAAAGAACACAAACACATTTCTAAGTACCAGTTTAATTGAGTCAAACCAGCTATATGTGTTATATGTAATGCTTCCAAACATTTTTCCTTTGGTCTGTTCAGGAAGACCTTAGTCCAGTACATCAGTACTCATACCTACTCATTATGAAAACTGCAATAGCATCCAAAGTATGGTAGGCATTTTCCAAAAACAAGGGAAGATGCAAAGCCAATAGTTTTAATAATTAGTATGATTAAAAATAATAATCACACCTACAATCTGTCTAAAACAATTACAATTTACAGCTCTGGAAGTTTGGAACAAAAATTTCCCTGTTTAGCATTTCAGTGGATGGGGAACAGGTGAGGGAGAGATCACTGAGACTCCCATCTCCATCCTAGAAGACAGGAGGCAAGAGCCCTGAAGCATATTTTAAAAACAAAATTGCAAGCTCGTGCTGGTTGCAGCATAACACAGTCCTTGCGGAGCTACACAGATGTATGGAATTTGGTCCGCTGTTCACCCATTGCACAACTGCTCATCCGCAAGAAGGGACCAGCATCGGATTAAGAGGGAGATTTACAGCTCAGGACTCTGGTACCTTTGGTCAGAAACTGGAAATCAGTCATACTTTCAGTTCATATCAGAAATATTTTAATTTATAGTATTTGTTATCAGAGCCAGACAGTGTTAAACTATGTCTTAAAGGCTGCTCATTTTACCAAATTAATATTTCATGTCTGCATATGTCTTGTCCAAACTCTGACGTGAATGCACTTACTGCAGACAAAATAGTTCAAACCACTTCAGTGTGACACAGATTACTGTGAAAATGGTGAAGCAGACCGAAGAGCAGTTTATTTAATTGAATTAAAGCCCTTAGTGGTTCATTTTTGTTTCCTGAACCATTTTTAGTCTCAGTTGATCTGCCAGTCATGGTAGGAAATGCAAGGACCGGGTGTCAGACTTACCATGCTGTGGTATGCCCTGGGTGGCTGTGGGAGGCTTCTGCCTTTACTGAGTGCAAGGGGAAGGAATGCCTGAGTTCAAAATGAGCACCAAGAGGAGAGAGAACTCTGACTGTTTCAACTCTGCAAACTTGTATGACCACACTAGCTGTAAAGTGCAGAGAAGTTTGACATTCCAAAAAAAGAAGCTGCTTGGCGGTACCGGAACCTGGCAGGGGGAAATGTTTAAAAATAAAAATAGCAAAGCTATTTTTTTCTACTCCTGAATGAAATAATGGGTTAAGTACTTTGAGGCTGAAAATGCTCTCTCTCCTGGGAACTTGGGAAGTGCAGATGAAAGGTTTCACAATATCTAAACTAATGCTTAGTGAAAAAGCATTATGCAATGAATATCCAGTTGTCTATAAAGTACACGACCCTACGGACATTTGCCAGCCCCACTGAAATGGCAGCATCAGCTTGCATAAATAGAATAATGGGAAACAGATAAATAGAATGCAGGGAAAGGTGCTTATTTTTGGCAAATGGATTCTTAATTTGCTACACATTTGATTGGAGCTTTCAGAACAGTTGTTGTTACTGAAAACAATGGGCTGTTTTCCTGTGGTTACCCAACCTGGGGCATGATCTGCAAGACCACGATTTGAGCAGAAGGATGGGATTATTCATCTTCATTTAATGCAAATCAGTCAGATGGCAAACTACAATAACACAGCTCGCTGTTGGAAGGTTCTCCGTTTCCGCTCCATAACATTACCGATTCACCCCCTGGTTTTACCAGTGGGAGTCATGATATTTTGATGACATTTCCTAGGAGCAGATTCTCTTCTGAGATCACGAGATAAGAATAGGTATAAATTGTGCATTTAGCTGATCACACCATTTGACTTTTAAAATAATCCAGGCTGGGTCATGTTGGGAAATAGATACATTTTAGCTGCTCTTTCCTAAGCAACATTTTCTGCCATTCTTTTATTAAAAATCTTTGCTTTTAAGATCTTTATTATAAGCCCCATTTATGTTATGCCTACTGGCTTTCTGCCACAGATAAAAAATCAGATGGATGCAGTCATGTGGGTATCATTCTGGAGGGAGTTTGCTAAAGCAGGGGGCCAGGGGTCTGTCTGGTGTTGGAGCCGGCTCAGCCTGCCTTGACCCATGAGCCCCAGCTGCAGACCTGACTGGGGTGACTGGGCAAAACCCAGCAGGGGCTGGAGGGTCAAAAAGCCCTCCTGCTTTTCCTGCAGATCCTCTTTGCAACCGAGAGGCATATTTCTAGGACTAAGGCATTGTATTTGCAGTTTGTAGCACCCGTGGGTAAATTTTGTCAGTAAAATCACATTTTAAACACTCAGGGCTTAAGTTGGCTGGGGGCAGGCTTTCCTTCCTAACTACCTCTGATTTAATGAAGTGAGAACTGATGTCACTTGGGGAGGGAGAGTGGTCCAATGGTTTGGGTATTATTGTAGGATTTGGGTGATTTACACTTAAATGCTGATTCTGGCACTCACTTTCTGTTTGACCTTAACAAAATCGAAGCAGATCTAGATGTCTGAGGATACTTTGGTGTCTAGTACTCATTTATTTAAAGTCCAAGGAAATCAGGGAGCATTAGACAAAATGCAGAACTTCAAAATCTTTCTAGCTTTGTTTTTTCACTTTCCATCTTTAAAATGGAAATGAAAACACTTCCCTTTCCCACTGGAGTGGTGTGATGGTGCATACATTGAAGGCATAAGTGCTCAGAAACTGCAATAATGTCTATACTCTTGTTCCCCCCTTTTGAGTTTTGCCATTTACTAATTGTATGTCTATTTATCACTCACTATTATATGCACCATAATTTCCTTCTCACAGGCTAATATTAACATCCCAATGGGAGCTTTTCGACCTGGTGCAGGCCACCCTCATAAAAGAAAAGAACTTACACCTGAAGAAGTGGAGGAGGTAAGAAAAAAAGGGAGTTTGGATTTTTTTTCCCAGGAGAATCCCTGCCGTTGATGGAAGAAAGCCTTTTAATCATTCTTATAGCACTACATACCAATCTTAGGTAACACAGCTGAACATGCACTGATCATTCACGGAAATAACTCACCAACTACTAAACACATCATATATACATTGTTCTGGTTTTGATGCCAGGGCATCTATAGGAATTTAAACTGTTTCAAAGGTGCATAACTCTGCTTCAACAGCAGGATGATATCTGCTGTCAGGAAAGAGAGCCAGGATTTCACCAGCAGTATTCATCTAAATGGGAGTTGATGGAATACATCAGGAAAAGTTATAGCAAGGCTTTGCAAGAATATCCAACTACCTGATGCCCTGCAGTGGGATTTATTGTTGCAGTTTGACAATATTAGAACAGGTTTTCAAACCTGATTGATGTTTTTTGGAATATTTATCAACAAGGAGAAATTGAACATGGAGACTATACAATTGCAAATTAAAAACAGAAATTGTGAACCTGTTTACCTGCACAGAGGTGAAAATACTGCATTTTAGATTGAATTCTGTGTTTGCATGCCTGTATTTTACAGGGAGTATTGAACACTGAGTTTTGAATACGAAGTCCATTTTATACCTTAACCAAGGTATAATGATCAACATTGATCACAAAGGTTATGCTTAAACACAGGTATCATATTTCTGAATGATATTAAAGCATCTTATTTACCATGAACTTTTATAATAATCATAGAATCATGGGTTTGGGTTGGAAGGGACCTTTAAAGGTCATCTAGTCCACCCTCCTTGCAGTAAGCAGACATCTTCAACTAGATCAGGTTGCTCAGAGCCCCATCCAGCCTGACCTTGAATGTTTCCAGGGCTTCTACCATCTCTCTGGGCAACCTGTTCCAGTGTTTTACCAGCCTTATCGTAAAAAATGTCTTCCTTATATCTAGTCTAAATCTACCTGCTTTTAGTTTAAAACCATTACCTCTTGTCTTATTGCTAAAGACCCTGCTGAAAAGTTTGTCCCCATCCTTCTTACAGGCCCCCTTTAAGTGTTGAAAGGCCACAATAACGTCTCCCTGCAGCCTTCTCTTCTCCAGGCTGAACAACCCCAACTCTCTCAGCCTTTCTTCATAGGAGAGGTGTGTTCCATCCCTCTGATCATTTTTGTGGCTAATGATAATAAATAAGAATTAAAACCAATGGTGGAGGAAAAGGTACTGGGGTACTAAAATATATATATATATATATATATATTCAAATAAAGATGGGTGCTTATGGCTTCCTACACAGCTGGATAAGTTTTGTCTTATAGTCCTCACCCAAGAACTGGTCCTGCTGGGCAAGAGCTGCAGATGCTCTCCAGAGTCAAGGGCAGGAAAGGCTCAAAGTGACCCCCATACAGCCAGGGTGCCCCTGGCAGGACTGGGCTGAGTGGACTTGCTGCCATGTGTGGGAAGCAAAACTGTCACGGCTGGAGGGAATCTTGCCTTCACCCAAAGCAGAGCGGTGAGGACCAGCAGAGAGATGGATAGCCACTTTTCCCCTGAGGCATGCAGTGGCACTGCTGATGATTCAGCCCCAAACAAGAAGCAGCCAGGTTAGTTTTGGACAAATCATCAGCTCCTAGTGACCTGGTACAGGCACTTGAAATGGTCAGGTTCAGTTACATAAAGCTAACTTCCTATTCTGTCTAAATCAGACAGGGTTTTTTTCTGAATTTCGGTGTATTTGATTATTTATAGTGCTGTGTTTACAGAGAACTTTCCTGAAGAAATCAAACCCAGGCTGAGATACTCTTCTCAATAAGATTTTAAAAAACCAAAACCAAACATACAAAGTGACCTTGAACACATATTGTGCCTTTCTCCCCTGGAAAGAAATCAAAGAATACTCTCTCCACAGTAATTAAACTGGTGAAGGAATGCTTGTTATTAAGCAGAAACTGATACAGCATGTGTGAATTCTGGTAGTATTTGAGAAATAAAATAAATGACTAGTGTTGATAATTAGATTTGGTTGGGTAATTGAATATTGTTTTGCTTCTCAGTTATGAAAATGCTATATATGAGACAGACATTAGAGAATGAAAGTTCTTTCCCCAGTTTTATAGCCAATATGCAACCAAAGCCATGGGATTAAAGACTACAGAAACAGATCTTATAATAGGAATAGAATAAAAACACTACCAGTGGACTTATCTTTTCAGTTTTCTCATCTCATCTCATTAAGTTTTGCAATACAGCTCATGATTCTTTACATCAGCTTTAGACAAATACAACTTTTGCTAACAGTGCTTAGCATTTGTCACTATATTTTAAAACCTTGGCAAAAGAGATAGGGGAAATATGGGGCTTACTCAAAGGGATGGTGGAGTCAGAAGGGAATCTGTATTTTTGAAGGTCAACAGAGTGGACATATTAACATGCAAAAGAAATGGGGGGCACGAATTTCAGAAAATAACTTTTCTTCAGTTAGAGCATTTCTGTGCAGGTATTTGTTAACTCTTGTCATATATCTAAATCACTCTTCAGAGTTCCTTCAATAAAACTGAAGACCAAGGTCTGATCTCAGCTGTGCGTCGCACATGGAGTGGGTGATATAAGGAGGGTTGCAGTCGTAAATAGCACACACCTGAGATTAGAAGGGAAGGCTAACATCAATTTGTGGAATACAAAGTCTCCAAAACATGGTTACAAAGTCTGCACTTTTTGTACTATGATAAGGAATAGAATTGTAGATGACTTGAAACAGCCCTGCTATGGAGGTTTAGGGGATGGTAGTTTTCCCCTGATTATTCAGATTAGCTAGCTGTGCAAGAAAACTGTCAAAGAAAACAATACAAGCTCATGGCTTAAAGATCAGAGAGGAAGAAAATGTCAGTTTTCTAAAATTCTTTGTTTATTTGCTACTTGACATTGCAAAAAGTCTGCTTCCTCATTAACATTTGGTCCATTAGTCAACAGAAAAAACAGGGGTTTACTGGCTAATAATATCTGACAAGTAATTTTGTACTTTTAAAAATGAAGTCAAATATTAAGAATAGACTGTTCAAGGTCAATACACCTTTCAAAAAAGGGTGGCTAATGACTCTAAATACTGAATTAACTGCAAAAAGTCCATCGCAAGAGGACATTCACAGAGTAATCAAAAAAGAAAAAATAATCCCGTTGTGAAATTATTTGCAATAAAATATTAATTAATCTCTAAACCATCATGATTCCTCCTCTATACCAGCTTTATAAAATACATAACAGGCTGGATGAACCTTAAACTCCCTACTGGAAAGCTACTCCTTCAAAACATTGCTCAATCTAGAAGTTGTCTGAAATACATCCTCTACCTCACTCACCTAGGAGCAATACTACATTCAAGGAAGTAACAAGGACTGAAATGCTTTGGTCCATTGGGAAATTAGCTGAGAGATGCTTGCTATTGTGTAAGTGCTGTTGTTTAGTCTGAATTTTTACAGGGTCAGCAAAATAGCTGTCAGGCACTACCCTAATTCAAACATAAAATGACAAAAACCCTTCTGATCTTATAACTGAGGTTAAGAAAAAACAAACATCAACTTCAACAGAGTTTGGATGGAGCTTTTGGAGTCCATAACCTACTGTCATAGCCCTTCTCCAGAGCTGCAGAAGTGCACCATGGTTTTCTCCCCCAATTGCCCAGCAACTATGAGATTCTGGAAAAAAAATTAATGATAAAAATAGTGTTTCTCCTTTTTTTGCCATAAACCTGGGAGTTGCCTTTAGTGGTCCACACAGTTAATTTTCTGCTAATGGTCTGGCAGTGTCAATTCTTACTCATTTGCCAAAAGATCCACATTTCTCTGCACTGAGCACCTTCTATTTTTTTTTTTCAGAATGTTTTTAGACATTGTAGACAACAACCAACAAAATAACCTATCTCTTCCCGCCTCCTCCCCAATTTCCATTGGGATTGTATTTAGTATAAAAACATCCTTTCCTGTTTCTCAAATAACTGACCTATGCTCATGCTCAAGAGATTGCTATTTCAGCAGTGAGGTCACTGATATCCTTTTGTGCAGAACGTTCCTGCTTCAACAGAGGAGGAGAAAAACAAGAAACATCTCCCAGGAGCTAAGAAACTTCCAGGTCCTGCTGTCAACTTGTCAGAGATTCAGAACATAAAAAGTGAATTGAAGTTTGTCCCCAAAGCTGAGCAGTAGCTGGAACAAGCAGGTGAGTAAAAGAAAGATTCTTTGCATGGCTCTAGGAGAAGCAGGCTGATCCAGAAACCTCTTTGTCTCAAAAGACAGCTTTCCAATTGCTTCAAAGGACCTGGAATTGCACCCCATATTTCAAAATATAAGAAGAAAAGGTTATAATCATTGGAATTCTGTTATTTCAAACACGGAGCATGTGGGAGACTATATCCTATGATATTTGGCACCCGGCAACTTGCCTAACAAAAAGCGTATTCAGCTATTAGGAGTATTGAAGCCAGCTTAAAAATACCAGCTTCCTTGCCTCACAAGTACAAGTTCCAGTTTTACAGAATATAGGGTTTGTATATGTACATATTATGAATAAATGTATTGCAATGCAAATAAATTTATTGCAATGATAGACAAGTAGGACAGTATTTTTTAAAAGCTGCTTTGGAACATTAGATATTTGATAATATTTTATTTCTGTAATTCAAAACTGATATGCTAATGACTTCATATATTTGATCTCACAAATATGCCCAGTGCTACTTGTGGCACCCAAGGACTTGCTATATGCACAGATGCATGGCTTGGAAATGTGGTATAGGACCCTGAGGACATCTGTGCTCCTCAGGAGCGGCCACAGGAGGCTAGGCAGGGACCCTCAGGCATTGCAAGCAGCACCAGACACCTATGGGCTGAGCCAGTGGTCTATGACTAGCACCACAGCTCATACCTCATCTTATTTTATTTAAAATGAATTGTTCAGCACTTCAACACAGATTTCAGAATTATTCCCATCTAATTCCAAACAAGGCCCGTAAGCCTCAGTTCTTCTACATTCTGAGCCTTAAAGAAATTAATGATCATTTCTGTCTGTGAAATTGTCCTCTCTTTTTCTTGGAAAAACCTGAGTCAGTAAAGATGCATCAAGCAGTTACAATGACAATTCATCTGTACAGAGAAATTTCAATACAAAAAAACCCCCACCGGTCTACAGTAAGAAAAACATTGTTGGGTCACATAATAGTCATCTGAATTGTCAGCTGTGCCTGTTGATACACGTCCTTCTTATCATGAAAGAGGCGAGGGCTAAGCTAAGTAGAACATAATCTGGAATTTACTGCACCAAAATGTATATGAAGAACAGAAGAAAATGGAAAGCAGTGCAAAAGGATTCTGGGAATGCAGAAGTGCTATAGACCAGGAATCTTGAAGGAAATGGCATATAATCTGAGTGAATTGCCCCAGTACACACTGTGACATTAACTTATTTTTTACATGCAGCATAAATATGCCATTAAGAAGGAAAAAGTGTTTATTTTTTCTTGATTTTACCCTGCTGTGTCATAACATTCCTGTTATTTTAAAGAAACAACCGAGGCTTTCTTTTCAGAAAACTTGGGAAAAGGAAGATTAACATTTTGTAAAATGTAACATTGTAGTCATTGCACTAAAGCAGTGCCCAGAGAAATATGAATTTTTAATGCTGAGGCTTTAAAGAGTTTTTTTCTCTGTAAGAGATATTTAGACATAAATTTAACCCCATATTTATTCTCAGATGATTGCTGTTTTCAATGTTTAAAACATTTCTTTAATAATTAGATTACTGAGAGTCTGACAGGAACATTTAGGGTGTGCACAGAGATTCACTCTAAAGAAAAGATTTCTATGGAAAGGTCAGCAAAGTAAAGGACATCTTGAAAGCTGTAAGGTCATTATGAAGTCCTCTCTATCTCTGTCCTTTTTTTCAATGATGTATCGGTTATCATGTTCTGACAGTGACACATTTCTAGATTTTAGATAGGACAGTCACAGATCATATCTGAAAACTTAGTTTCTAGAAGTGTTGAAGACACAGCACTCATTGGAGACTAGGATTTTGGGTTTGGTTGCAGTGCAGAACTAAGCATGTGCATAAATTCTGCATAAAATTGAGATGTGAATCAGTCATCACATCCAGCAACCTTGAATGGTACTAAATAGCCCCCTATAGAGGGGGCTATTTAACTGACTATTAATCAGTTCTATTGTTTTAGGCATGTCCTGCAGCCTTGTATAAAATGTGATACAGTCAGTGAATTGTTTTATGACTGACCCTACCAAACCAGTGAAGATTTTCTTTATTTGCAAAAAATACATGCTCACATCTGCCTGATACTTTGCTTCATCTCCAAGAAGGGGTTACTCTTCACTCTTTGGATATGATACTCTCTAAAGAACAGTAAACTGACTGTCAACAGAACATGCCTGTGCAGAGTGTGTATTCATAAACAAGGGCATTCTTTGGTTTTCACAGCTTGGAAATGAGTACAATTTCTCTCACATCAGTACAATAAACTCTTCAGATATTTGCTGTCAAGGGATTTCTCTTTGTTAGTTTATATATTTTTATATTTCTTGTGGTGCTCTGTAGGAAATACCCACTGAAACTGATAGAATAGCTGCAAGTTCTCTGGATAATTTCCATTATGCTCTAGTTTTATAACATGATCTCATAAAAGTATTAAAAGCATACATAAATATGTAAAAAAATACCAAAGGTTTCACAGCTACAGCAATTATTTCTAACACTTCCTCTTAGTGTTGTCATTCTTCATCAAATAGTTTCAGTAAATTGCAAGTTGGCACAGTCAGTTTTGTTTTAATTTTGATCCATGTTTTCTTGCTCCGTTTTACAGAGTGCAAATCCATCAGCAAAAATAAGGAACCTGCAAAACAATAGATTAGTTCATTATTTACAAACCCATTCCTACATAATTTGCTCTTTAGAGTAACTTCTGTTAAATATCTTTGGTCTTGCTCTTTCACCAAATTATGAAACATGAATAGACTTGCAAAGATCATAGTTGTGAGTCTAAGTTTATGGGAGGGATATAATTAGTGAGATGTCATGAAGCTGGATCCACTGAAGGTCATAAAGTGCTTATCAGTTAAGATATTCCTGTACTCATCCCCTGCTGCTGGCCTATCACCTATAATTAGTCATAAAGATTTATTTTTTCTTCCATTTTTTTTCTTTCCAGATCTGTAGATGATGTGTTTGATGCAGCTAGCTTTAATTTACAATGAGTTGTGATTAATTTTCCTTTTCTCCATCTACAATTTTTTTTGCTGCCTTTGCACATGCACATTTCTACCTGCACAAAACATATGCAAAATAACATAGTAACAAAACAGCACATGCTAATCAGCATATGTCTTATTGATTAAGTAATGGTAGGAAGCATTCAATTTGTGACAAATGGAGCCTGCTATGTCAGAATTATTACTGATTGTTGTGATATCTCACATGATAACTAGTATTGTGATTATATCTGAAAATGGGCCTGAGCACAAATTGGCATTTCACCTGAGAACATATATAATTGCCATCAGTTACTACTGCAACTCATGTTTGAGTTCTTTCTTCATTCTGTACCCCTTCATGTTTTGTGTCCTGAAGTGTGGGGATTTGTGTAACAAGACTTTTTACAATGCTCTGTGAAAGGCCATGGTGTCTGAATGCTGAACTTTGGTTTTAAAGGACCTAAACCTTCAGCCAGAGTGGTCTGGTCTTTTCCTCTTGAAGGAGACATTCATACTTACTGAAGGAGCTTTTAAAAAAGCAAAAAGGGAAATTTACTGCCTTAAAGTCACAAAAAAGCCTGTCATGAACATATGGGCAGCACTCCTGGTACTGCATTCTGGTCATGTTTAGAGAAAGTGCTTGTCAGGATCCCCATCACAGTTCTGATCAGGATTTGATCACACAAGGTTGCTAAGCTATGCCTGGGCTGTTCCTGACAGGGTACCTATCTTGTTCAAGGTATGAGAAACCACACAGCTGCTACTTGTAGATAATCTGTTGTCTTTACTTGGAACTCTACTAGGGAGGATGGTTTAATTGCAGAAGCTGAGTGGTAGCTCTGTTGTCAGGTTATAGAAGAAAGGGAGTTGTATCTTGAGGGCAGAAGATTAAACAGCTAACAACACCTTCCCAGGGCAGCTTAGACTTTGTATTACTTGCAGCATTACCTCTTATATAACATAGTGGGAATCCTGTCTTGAAAAAAAATGAGGAACCTTGTCAGTAGAGCAGCCTCTGCAATCGGCATCGTTTGGGGAAGAAAGAGTGAGAAAGAGAAGAAAAAAAAAAAGTAGTCCCTTTGGAGTAGACAGTTCTTATATCCGTACTTACAAGATGTTCCTTGGTGTTGCTATTAATTATTTACAAAAAATGGCAATTACCCTGGGCTAAAAATACACTTTATAACTTTGTCCACTGAGTACTGTGGATTTTAATTATAGTTTCATGCTATATACTCCTCTTAAGCAGCATCTCAGCCATCTACCTCTCCTGATGTCACTGCTCTGACAGTTCAATCATTGTGTTTTATTCCTGTGCTCACACAGACTAGAGGGACACAGTTAAACTGCTGTACAGTAACAAGCAAAGTTAGTTTGATTTTCTCCAGGAAACACATCCAGTGCCTTGCTAATAGAACAACTCTGACATGCTGTGAGCTCTTGAAACAGCCCCCCAGTTTTAAGAAAATGTGTTCATTTGATTAAGCCCAAGTAGCCAGCCCTCATGTGGGAGAAGCGAGTTTTGCATCCAGAGGATGCTAAGGGAGGACAAATCTCCTTAGCTGGAGTGGGAACAACAGGTTGAAGATGAAGGAGGTACTGAAAGAAATTCTGCAGGATCCTTCTGCCAAAGTCAGAGGAAGCTTGGGGGGATCTCATCAATGTGTGTAAGTACCTGAAGGGAGGGTGCAAAGAGGACGGACCCAGGCTCTTTTCAGTGTTGCCCTGTGATGGGCCATCCATGGACCCACATACTGTTTGCCATGTGTTAATTTCAAAGTACTTCTTGTGTTTTTCTATCATTGGTTTCCATCCTGCTCTCTTTGGTTCAGAACTCCCAGATTAGTATCACCTGGGGATTTCATGGCCAGCCATCAATTTTGCCAGGTAACTTCTGTTTGTAAAATTGTCCTAAGAAACTAGGTAGCTGAGGGCTTTTAGGATTTTTTAACAGCATGTTTCAG